ATAATCGCCATCAGCATCATCAGCAACATCATCATCGTCATAATCATCAGAATCGTCATCGTCATCGTCGGCACCATCATCAGCATCATCATAACCATCGTCATCATCATCAGCATCATTATCGAACCCACCGTCATCCACAACATCATCATCATCATCATCAGCATCAGTATCATCATCATCATCAGCGAAATCGTCTTCATAATCATCATCAGTCTCATCGTCATCGTCATCCGCATCCTCAATCTCAGCATCATCATCGGCATCATAGCCAGCATCATCATCACCATCCCAATCCTCATCCTCCGTGCCATCATCATCATTACCATCATCATCAGCAGCAGCATCAGCATCAAAATCATCATCAACCTCATCGTCATCATCATCAGCATCATCATCCTCATCCTCACCATCATCATCGTCACCATCATCATCACCATCATCATCATGAGGAGCAGCACAAGCAGCAGCGGCAGCCCATCAACAACATACATCACCATCATCGTCATCAGCATCATCATCCCCATCAATATCATCATAATCATCCTCACCAGCCCCATCATAATCATCATAATCATCCTTATTCCATCATCATCATCAGCATCATCATCAGCAGCGCCATCACCATTACCACCATCATCATCAATCACCCTCGTCCTCATCCTGATCCTCATTCTCATCATCACCATCATCATCAACATCATCAACATCATCAACATCATCATCATCATCATCATCATCATCATCATCACCATCTTCATCATCATCATCATCAGCGTCAGCATCAGCATCAACTTCTGCAGCCTCACAATGATCATCATCAGTATCAGCACCATCGTCTGTATCATCATCATCATGATCATCATCATCATCATCATCATCATCATCGGCAACATGATCTCAACATCATCATCATCATCAACATCATCATCAGAATCAACATGTAATCACAATCAGAATCACCATCATCATCATCAACATCATCATCATGGTCGTCGTCATCATCATCATCATCATCACCATCGTCATCACCATCACCATCACCATCACCATCATCATGCCCATCATCGTCATCATCAGCGTCCTCATCCGCATCATCATCCTCATCACCCTCATCATCAGCATTCTCATCATCATCATTCTCATCGTAACCGTAACCCACATCCTCAATCTCAGAAACCTTACCATCATCAGCAGCATGATCGCGAGCATCATCATCCTCATCCTCACTATCATCCTTATCATCAGCATCGTCATCATTAAAATCAACGAGCATCGTCATTATCATCAGAATCATTATCATGATCATCACCATCACCATCATCATAATCATCATCAACATCATCGTCATCATCATCGGCACCACAATCCTCATCCTCATCGTCATCGTCATCAGCATCAGCATCATCATAAGCGTCATCATTATCAACATCGTTATCATCAGCAGCAGCAGCTGCTCATCATCAGCATCATCATCATCAGCATCGTCATCCTCATCCCCACCCTCATCCCATCAGCATCAGCATCCTCATCCTCATTATCAGCATCATTATCGTCATCAGCACAATCATCATCATCAGCAGCATCATCACCATCATCATCAATCATCCTCGTTCTCATCCTCATCCTCATCGTCATCATCACCATCGGCATCATCACATCAGCATCACAATCATTCGCATCAGCATCTGCACCCTGCTTCTCGTTAGAATCAGGAACCTCATCATCAACATCATCAGAATCACCGGCATCGTAACCAGCAGCATCATCATCATCGCCATCAGCACCATCATCACCATCATGATCATCATCATCATCATCGTCATCATAATTATCATCATTACCATCAGCATCAAGCATCATCGTCCCCATCCTTATCCTCATCAGCATCAGCATCATCAGCATCGTCGTCATCATCATCAGCATCAACATCGACATCCTCATCCTCATCAGCATCAGCATCAGCATCAGCATCAGCATCAGCATCATCATCAGCATCATTATCGTCATCATCGTCATCATCAACAACATCATCATCGCCATCAGCATCACCAGCATCATCATCATCATCAGCAGCATCGTCGTCAGCTGCATAGTCATCATAATCATCACCATCAGCGTCAGCATCACCATCATCGGTACCATCATCATCATCATCATCATCATCATCATCAGCAGCATCATCATCATCACCATCATCATCAAGCATCCTCGTTCTCATCCTCATCCTCATCGTCATCATCACCATCGGCATCATCACATCAGCATCGTCATCATTCGCATCATCACCATCATCGCCCTTATCCTCACCATCATTCTCATGAAAATCATCATCATTATCCTTATCAGCATTATCGTTAGCATCATCATTATCATCGTCATCACGATCATCGCCATCATCATCCTCAGCGTCGTTATCATCATCGCCATGATCATCTTCCTCATCATCATCATCATCCTCATCATCATCACTATCAGTATCAGCACTATCATCATCACGATCCGCATCGTCATCACATTCATCATCAGCATCATCATCCTCATCCTCATCCCCATCCTCATCCTCATCCTCAACAGCATCATCATCATCACCATCGTCATCAACAGCATCATCCTCATCAGTAAACCGCACCCTCATCATCAGCAGCCTCATCATCATCATCATCATCCTCATCAACATCAGCATCGTCATCAGAATCATCATATCAGCATCATCATCATCAGCAGCATCGTCACCAGCATCATTATCATCAGCAGCAGCATCATCATCAGCAGCTTCATCATCGTCATCATCATCATCAGCATGACCATCATCATCAGCATCACCGTTGTCAGTAGCTCCATCATGAGCATCACCCATCAGCATCACCATCATCCTCATCATCAGCATCCTCATCATCATCATCATCATCATCATCATCTTCATTATCATGAAAATCATCATCATAAGCATCATCATCCTCATCGTCCTCATCGTCAGCATCCTCATCAGCATCAGCATCATCATCATAATAATCAGCAGCAGCATCCTTGTCATCATCGTCATCATCACCATCCTCATTATCATCATCAGCATCATCATCATCCGAATCATCAGCATCAGCATCATCATCATCATCTGCATCATCATCATCAGCATCATCATCATCAATAATCATCTTGTTCATCCCCATCCTCATCATCACCATCGTTGGCATCATCATCATCAGCAGCAGCATCGTCATCATGATCAGCATGAAGCATGTGTATCCTCATCCTCATGAGAATGAGCCTCATCATCGTCAGCATCATCATCACCATTACAATCATCAGCATCAATATCATCATCTTCATCATCGCCATCACCACCATCAGCATCACCAGCATCATCAGCATCAGCATCATCATCATCATCATCAGCAGCAGCATCATCAGCAGCATCATCAGCAGCAGCAACATCATCACCATCATCATCACCATCAGTATCTCCATCATCATCAGCCTCATCCTCATCCTCCTCCTCCTCATCATGATCGTCAGCATCAGCATCCTCATCGTCAGCATCGTCGTCATCATCATCAGCAGCACCATCATCACCATCATCATCCCCCTCCTGCCTGTGGCAGCGACGGTGGAAAATCGGCCCACCATGACGCGCGCGGCGGCCCCCGCGGGCGGCTGCCCGTCACGCGGCGGGCCGGCGGGCGGCCGCGCGGGGCCCGCCGCGGGGGGGCCCCTTGCGGGCGGGCCGCCCGCGGCCGCCTCCTCCGGGCGGGTGGCCGTTGGGATGGGCCCTGCCCCGATACGCAGCACGCAACACGCAACACGCAAGACGCATGGTATTGATACAGGGCAGTGTTTAAGACATGGGATTTTGTTAAATGTTGGACTTTTATTTAATACATGACTAATGTATGAGTAAATGTATGCACGAATTCATCGTTCTTTTTAATACTAAATCCCTGCATTTCAACACATAATCCGCAAGCGGAGCATGTACTAAAAACGGCAATGTACGGAGCTCAACACGTAGGCAGAAAACGTGGGCCCGACGCGATACATGCGCCAAAACGTGGCCCAAAACGTGGAGCCAGCACGCAAGGTGTTGACACGGACGTCTTGAACACGGGACGTGTTGAGTTTCAAAACGGGCGTATCGAGGCAACTAAGAACCAGGTCCTCCAGGGCCCGAAAAGAACCCTGAAGGGCTCAAAATTAACTCGGGCAGGTCCTCCTGCAGGCGGACGTTGCAAGAAAACTGCAAAAATAGTCAAAACATGCTCAAAAAGATAATCAACAGAGCACAAAAAATAGTCACCTGACTATGTTCCACTATTCTTGGATACTCCTCCTGTGGAGTGCCATGCCCGACTTAACCCTAAAGAAGAGGGGAGGTGAAGAGAAGGCCCCTCTGAAGGCCCCTGCAGGGGCCCACCCCGGGGGGGAGGAAAAGGGGAAGGGCCAGCAGGGGCCGTTTGGGGGTCAGCAGGGGCCCAAAAGGGACCCCACGGGGGCCCTAAAGGAGCCCTTTCGGACCCTTGTGTTAAAGGCCTCCTTGATGGGATCCGAGTAGATGGGGTCGAAGGATCGCGCCGCATCCCCAAAGCATCGCCGACGTATCGGCGATACATCGGCGATGCATCGGCGACGTCGGCGACGCATCCGCAACGTCGGCGTGGGGGAAATGCGGCTCCGCATCGAGCCGCATCGAGCCACATCGTCGATGCATCGTCGATGCGGCGCGCTCCTCCGACCCCCCCTACTCGGACCCCATCTGGGAGGCCTATGCTTATGTTGCTCCCATCGTACGTAAGGACCACATCCCAGAAATCATTTCCAGCGCCCAGAAAAGTGTCGAAGCAGCGTCGAACGAGTATCGCCTCCCAGGGCCCGACACGTGAAAACCCTCCAGTTTCGGTGCCTTCTTGGTGCTCGACAGTCTTGCTGGCGACCAGGGCTAAACTAGGCTGGAATGGTCAAAGCTAAAATAGTAAAGTAGGTTGGAACATCATAAGCCCATG